GTGTGGATGCACAGGCAGAACTGGCGGCATCTCTGGGTTTGATGGGAAAGCCGGGCACGGATCTGGAAGGAGCGGGACCCCGGCACCGGACAGAGGGACATCTGACTGGACTCACATGAAGGTGGGATTCCAGATCCGGGAGTTCCTCCGAGCCTCCCATGGCAGTGGGAACGGCTGGCTCTCCAGTGTCTGAGAATCACTCGAAAGCCCAGTGACAGGCTTTCCTGGGGCAGATGCCTAGCGCAGGCCTCTCACCCTCCCAAAGAAAACCCCAGCCAGCCATTGGTGCCCCTTGACCTGTAACTGGGGACAAGTTTCTGCATGCAGCAGGGGACGAAACCACTTATACGCCAAACAAACTGTGAGATCTTCCATTTCACAGTTGCAGAAACCGAGGAAGTATGTATGGGAACAGTGCTAGTAATGTCAGGACAAAGACGAGAAATTTAACACCCGTTTGGTGGGACTGATTGCTCTGAGTGGTCTCACCAGTAATGGTTCGTTAACATTTTGCAAACGTAGCCGGCAGTGGCTCTAAGTGCTCACTTGGTTGACTGCCTGAAGTGTGGGGCACTGCTGAGTCCATGTTTAATAAGGCTGAGATGCCAGGCTTCTGTGGCACAGTGAACTATACAGAAGGAATCCACAGGCTTAGGGAGACAGGGGCACTGGCATGGATTTGTCACGTGCCACCTGCACATTCCATACCCAGAGGACACTCCTCCTGGAGCCCCTGAGGAACATATAGGTGAGGGACCCCTTCAATCGGAAAAGTGAACTTGTCACTGCAGCAGCTGTTCCCAATGTAGTATCTTGGGGGACCTATAGCCCCTGCCTGGGCACATACTCCTTTCTCTATACCAACCTACAAGGACCCCTAGACAGAGTCTGCTTTACCTGGCAACAGGACACTTTCACCCATGTGTCTCAAGGCTGCAGCACCCCCGCTCTGTACCTTATTATGGTCTGCAGAGAAGCTGGCCATCTTCACACTGCACATTGCCACACTGGCCCATACGCTGATGGCAATGTGGGCTGGACTGGACAGGCACGAAGTAGCAGAGCTCTACGTGCCTCTGTGAGATATGTGCAGGGCACAGCGTGAGGGACAGACCCCAAAGAACGAGCGGTCTCACACCCCAGAATGGCCTGAAACACTGGAGACAGCCCTCCAATGGGAGCTTCAAGTTGTCACTCCATACTCCACCTGCCACTGCAACCACCAGGCAGGTGTTTTGGAGGCAACATGCACCACATGTGCGTGTGCTACTCTGACACAGGTACTGAGTGACACTAAAAGCTGTTTTCAGAGAGGCCTGGGGCAAGATCAGGCATGTGGCAAGTCCAGGTTGCTCTTCTGTGTGGCCTTAGGATCCAGCAAGGTTGATATTAGGGATGCTGTAGGAAGCCTCCACCAAAAGGAAATTTACAGAGTAGACACTGAGGGTTTTGAGGGAAGATTAACTCCAAAACAACCATGTCTTCTCCTGCAGATGACTTTCCCGCTGGGAAACAGTTCTGGCTGATTGCGCCAGGCCCTTGCAGAGACTGAACAAGCTAGCCATGAGACGCGGAGACCACGCAACCTGAGCTCCCCATCGCGAACAAGGAACTACCAGGCCCTCCAAGCCGAATGCTGAGTGTGCACAGCGACCCTCTCTCACCAGGCAGAGACGGGGCTTGCCCAGGCCTGTGAAGTACACGGACGCTGCACGGGTACATGATGCAGCTGCTCTGCCACTGGTGCCTCCCCTACTTTGATCCACACCCAGACTCGGGGGAGCTCCTTATGAGCCACTGACTGACGGAGAAAAAGCTGGGCTTGGTTTCCAGGTGCTTCTCCTGCTGGGCTGGCCCCTGCTGGCACTGCAGAGTGTGGCTCTTGAGGACAGTGGGGATTACATCCCCAGCAGGCAGACCTCCCAGCTGGACATCTGATTTCCACTTTATCAGGACGGAGATGGCCAGGACATATCTACACGGATCCCCAGGGTGATTCCAGTATTAAACCAGGGGAATCTCATGGAACCCAACCGCAGGGAGTCCAGTCGGCCTCTCAAGAGACTGAAGATGGAAACAGAAAAGCCAAGCCCGAGACTGCTCGTCCCGCCTCATTCTGGCAGCACACCCTCCCACTCTGCTCTCCTCTGGTCGGCTCTGTTCTACTCCTGTCTGCACACACTCTTTCAGCTTCCCTGCAAGTGGCTCGCCTTGGTCCCCAGAGCAGTTATGGCTCTGAGGATGTCGTACCCTCAGAGGAACGTGGTCATTTTGAGTACTGTTCTGCAGCTTACTTTTTTTTTTCCTAATAAATGAATATACTCTTGACAAACATTTTCTCCAGTATGCAGTATTCTGCTATACGCCTATGCGAGGATTTCTTTAATCTCTTAGGTTGTTTTGGGTACGCGGCTATTTTCTGTTTGCTTTCTTAGCTCTTGAGGGTGTGTCAATAACTATTACTGCAGCCTGTGTCTAGAAAATACTCAAATCACCCCCTTGCAAATACATCTTTTACTGTGACTTAACCAATGCCAAACAACTTTCTCCCCCTATTTCCATGGTAATGCATCTCAGTTCCTCTCAAACTCAGAGCCTCACAGGATAAACGGCTTCCCGGAGATGATGCTCACAGTTCCTGTTAATTAGGGAACTGATATTTACTGGATCGGTGATCTTGGACATCCATAAGGTATCGCATTTTTCATGTATTACTCATTTTACTTTCTTTAGGGTTTAGCCAAAATGAGTAATACGTGGAAAGCTGGGTAAAAGTCAAACCAGCTGTTACTTGTTACTGTCATTTTTTGAGAGTCTTGCTTCGTTGGAGTCTCACTCTGTCATCCAGGCTGGAGTGCAGTGGCACGATCTCGGCTCACTGCAGCCTCCGCCTCCTGGGTTGAAGCGATCCTCCCGCCTCAGCCTCCTGAGTAGCTGGGACTACAGGTGCCTGCCACCACACCCAGCTAATTTTAATTTTTGTATTCTTCGTAGAGATGGGGTTTCACCATGTTGGCCAGGGTGATCTTGAACTCCTAACCTCAAGTGCTCTGCCCACCTCGGCCTCCCAAAGTGCTGGGATTACAGGTGTGAGCCACTGTGCCCGGCCTACTGTCACTTATTTTTATGTTGGTAGAAATGCCGGTGGTCAGAAGATCTGGTATTTTACAAAGTAAACCTCCTGGGGGATGGGGGTGAGGCTGAAATAGGCTGAGCCAGTAGTTCCTTTATCTTGGGAATTCAGAACTTCTCGTTATTTTGTTACTGAAACACGTGGTCACAGTTCTCGAGACCGCATCTCTTAAAACGACTGCCTATCATTTTCCCTACTATAAGACTGTATTTGCATGCTTTCCTCTTTGTGTCAAATAATCAGAGAATCTCAGGGTTTTAAAAGTGGCTCTGAAGGTCACCTGGTCCAAAGTGAACTCAGCAAAGAAAAAGGATATATAAAGCCAATTTGCAAAAATGAATTGTATTTCCATATGTTAACAAGAAACAATTGGAAAATGAAATTAAACGAAAGCAACATCATTTTTGGTCATCCTGTAAGTCCTGGGTGGCAGGCACAGAATACAGGTACGGGGCTCCAAGAATCCGGGGAGCCCTCTGAGGATGCATGGCAGGTGTGGGGCGTGGGAACAGAAGCAGGCCACACCTGGGGGTTCCTGGGAAGGTCTAAAGGGTCTGGTGGAGCAGGAAGAGCCTGGGAGGATCACCTAAGGCAGGGCTATGGGAGGGGTTGGACACGCCCCAGGGCACCTTTCAGCCGGAGCTCCCGAGGGCTCAGGCTGAGGCCGCCCTTGCAGGGCCCTGGCTGGGTGTCTTCCCCTGCCCTGCTCTTCCTCTGATCCCTTCATGCTTCCTCCTGGGAGTGCATCCTTCATAAACCACTTGCCCGTGAACTCTTGGTTTAGCATTTACTTCTGAGGAACTCGACTGAGGACAATCCTACTTGGAAAATATTTATATAGAAACAATATACTAAATGTATATGCACAGATATGTGGGTAGACACACATTTGATTACATGGAATGTAGTTTGATCACTGTATTGAGTGTAATATTTAGGACTTTTCGTATGTGATTATAAGTTACATTGATATAAAGTAAGTTGCAACAAGCATAATTTTAATACCAAAATGTTAAGATTCAAATTTTCTGTGAAAAGAGATTGGTAAGGTTCTTCTCTCAAGAGATTGCCCATTTTAGTGATTGTCTTCTTTTTCACCATTATTATTTCAAATTTATGTATCGTATGTTCAACTAAATAACTAAGAAAGACCATGAGGATATACTGAGGCTATACAGTTTAATAATGAACAGCTTAGGTTCTAGCACACATTAGACAGCCCTGTGTTCAAAACCCCATCTTGTACTAGCTCTGTGGATTAGATCCTTAAATTCCACAACAACAACTTGTGGACTAAGCTTGCTTTCTTTCTTTTTTTTTTTTTTTTTTTTTTAAATGAGATGGAGTCTCGCTCTGTTGTCAGGCTGGAGTGCAGTGGCATAATCTCGGTTCACTGCAACCTCTGCCTCCTGGGTTCAAGCGATTCTCCTGCCTCAAGGTCCTGAGTAGCTGGGACTACAGGCATGAACCACCGCACCCGGTTAATTTTGTATTTTTAGTAGAGATGGGGTTTCATCACATTAGCCAGGCTGGTCTCCAAATCCCGGCCCTCAGGTAATCTGCCAGCCTTGGCCTCCCAAAGTGCTGGGATTACAGGCGTGAGCCACTGCACCTGGCCAAAGCTTTCTGACTTAAGTTCTTAAACGCTATAATTTGAGCTTCCCTGTCTTCAGGAAGAAGACAGTAATAGCACATTTCTTATAAGGTTGCCACAGATGTTAAGAATTCAGATAAAACCTCTGCACAGTGCCTGATAGTGCAAAGGACTCAATAAACGTTTGCTGGCATTGCTGGTTTTAAATGACTGCATAAAGCAGTAGCCATCCAAAAGTGAAACAAAAAATTCATGAAAACTGAGTACACTTACTTGTAATGTAGTATCAAAGACGACAAGCTTTGAACTGGTTGGAACGATGTCATAACACTTGTGTGACCTCATGAATCGCATGTAAACACCACTTTCTGAGTCTTCTGCTATAAGAAAAAAAGGCAAAACATCAGTAACAATAAAGAACACCCTCAATCGCATGAAGAGCATATACATAAACCTATCACTAACAGACTTCATGGTAAAATACGAAATGTTTTCCCAGTATGACTTAAGGGCCAGGCAAGGATGCTCACTCTCACTAATTCTATGAACACTGTACTGGAGGTCCCAGATGGGGCAATAAGGCAAGAGAAAAAAATGAAAGGCATACACGTTGAAAAGGAAAAAGCAAAACTGTCTTTACTTGCACACTGTACAATTTTCTATATAGGAAATACCAAAGAATCTAGAAAAAGTTCCTAGATTTAAAAGAATGAGTTTAGCAGGGTCACAGAATTAAATATGGGGTTAATAAAACAAAGGCAAAGCTAATCGAATGGGGAAAAGTTGGAAGCTTTCCCTTCAAGATCTGGAACAAGGCTGGGTGTGGTGGCTCACACCTGTAATGCCAGAACTTTGGGAGGCTGAGGTGGAAGGGTCGCTTGAGCCCAGGAGTTCGAGACCAGCCTGGGTGGCATAGCGAGACCCAGTTTCTACAAAAATAATAAAATAAAATAAAAATAAAAATAAAGGGGGAAAAAAAAAAGACCAGGAACAAGACAAGAATGCCTGCTCTTGCTACTCTGTTCAACGTAGTACTGGAAGTCCTTGTCAGAGCAGTCAGGCAAGGCAAAGAAATAAAAGGCATCCAAATATGGAAACAAGGAAGTTAAACTGTCCCTGTTTGCAGATGACATAATCTTATATATGGAAAACCCTAATGACTCCATCAAGAAACTGTCAAAACTAATAAATTTGGTAAAGTTACGAGATATAAACTCAACATAAAAAATCAGTAGCATTTCTATACACTAATAGACAACTATCTGAAATAGAAATTTTAAAAAATCCCATTTATAATGGTTACGAAAAAACAAAATACTCAGGATTTAATTTAACCCAGGAGGTGAAAGATCTCTACAGTGAAAACTATAAAACACTGATGAAAGAACTGAAGCAGGCCAAGTGTGGTGGCACGTGACTGTAATCCTAGCACTTTGGGAGGCCGAGGCGGGCAGATCACCTGAGATCAGGAGTTTGAGACCAGCCTGGCCAACATGGAGAAATCCCGTCTCTACTAAAAGTACAAAAATTAGCTGGGCATGGTGGCATGGGCCTGTAATCCCAGCTTCTCAGGAGGCTGAGGCACGAGAATTGCTTGAACCTGGGAGGCGGAGGTTGTAGTGAGCTGAGACTGCGGCACTGTACTCCAACTTGGGTTACAAAGTGAGACTGTCAAAAAATAAAAATAAAAAAATAAAGGAAGAATTGAAGAAGATACAAATAAATGGGAAGATGTCTTGTGTTCATGAATTGGAAGAATATTGTTAAAATGACCATACTACCCACTATGATCTACAGATTCAATGCAATGCCTATCAAAATACCAATTCTTCTCAGGACAAGAAAAAAAAAATCCTAATATTTGTATAGAACCACAAAAGACCCCAATAGCCAAAAGAATTTTGAGCAAAAAGAACAAAGGTGAAGATATCACACTACCTGACTTCGAAATATACTACAAAGCTACAATAACCAAAACAGCATGATGCTGGCATAAAAACAGACACACAAAGAGAATCAGAAAGCCCAGAAATAAATCCACACATTACAGTCAAATGATTTTTGACAAAGGTTCCAAGAATACACACTGGGCAAAGCGTGGTCTCTTCCACAAATGGTGCTGGGAAACTCAGATATCCACATGCAGAAAAATGAAGCTGGACTCCTGTCTCTCATCAGATACAAAAATCAATGGAAAATAGATTAAAGATTGAAAAATCTAAGACCCAAACTATGAAACTACTAGAAGAAAACAGGGGAAATGCTTCATGACTTTGGTCTGGGCAAATATTTTACGGCTAAAACTCCAAAAGCACATGGAACAAAAGCAAAAATGGACAAATGGGATTATATCGAACTAAAAAGCTTCTATCCTGCAAAGGAAATAATCAACAGAGTGAAGAGACAACCTACAGAATGAGAGAAGATATTGGCAAACTATACATCTGATAAAGAGTTAATATCCAAAATAGATTAGGAATTCAAACAACTCAACAGCAGGAAAACAACAACAACAACAAAAAAACAAATAATCTGATTAAAAAATGGGCAAAAGAACTGAATACGCATTTCTCAAAGAAGACATACAAATGGTCAATGGGTATATGAAAAAATGTCCACCATCGCTAGTCACTGGAGAAATGCAAATCAAAACCACAATGAGATATCATCTCACTCCAGTTAGAATGGCTATAATAAACAAAACAAAACAAAAGATGAGTGTTGCTGAGGATATGGAGAAAAGGAAGCCCCCCCCCCCACTTTTTTTTTGAACTATTGGTGGGAATGAAATATAAATTAGTATAGCCATTATAGAAAACAGTACAGAGGTTCCTCAAAAAAATAAAAATAGAATTACCCCATGATCCAGCAATCCCACTACTGGGCATACCCAAAGGAAATGAAATCAGAGTGTTAATGACACATCTGCACTGCCATGTTGAGTGCAGCACTATTCACAATAGTCAAGACATGGAATCCACCTAAGTGTCGCCAAAAGATGAACGGATAAAGAAATGTGGTACCCACGCACAACGGAGTACTATTCAACCATAAAAAAGAATGAAATTCTGACATCTGTGACCACAGGATGAACCTAGAGGACACAGTGCTACATGAAATAAACCAGGCATGGAAAGGCAAATACCATCTCATTCATCTGTGGAATCTAAACAAGTTGATCTCACAGGAGTAGAAAGTAGAGAGTGGTTACCAGAGGCTGGGGAGGGAACAGGGTGGTGGTATGTGAGGTTGGTCAGTTACAGTCAGACAGGAGGAATGCATTCTGGTGTTCTATTGCAGTGTGGTGACTATAGTTAACAATAACGTATTGTATATTTCAAAATAGCTAGAAGGGAGGATTTTGAATGTTCCTGCCACAAATGATACATGTTTTAGGTGACAGATACACTAATTATCCTGATTTTATCAGTATACAATATATACATATATTAAAACACCAAACTGTATCCCATAAATATGTACAACTATGTGTCAACAAAAAATTAAAAAAACTGAAAAAAGTACAATAAAGCAAATGCAAATAGGAAAAAAGTCTTCTATATTTGTATCTACTAACTCATTGTTAGCAGACAGAAATTTAAAAAAATTTTAAAGGTATTAATTACATAAATGCTGTATGGAAACACGGACCTAAACAGGGAACACAGAGCACTGAAAATGGTAACGATGTGGACAAATATATAAATGCTTTCAAAAATTATTTAAATCTCTCTAAAAGCTAATTGGCAATTTATTTTTTATTTTTATTTTTTTTAAGATGGAGTTTAGCTCTTGTCACCTAAGCTGGAGTGCAGTGGCTCAATCTTGGCTGACTGCAACCTCCGCCTCCAAGGTTCAAGCGATTCTCCTGCCTCAGCCTCCTGTGTAGCTGGGACTACAGGTGCGTGCCACCACGCCTGGCTAATATTTGTATTTTTAGTAGAGATGGGGTTTCACTGTGTTGGCCAGGCTGGTCTTGAACTCCTGACCTCAGGTGGTCTGCATGGCTCGGCCTCCCAAAGTGCTGGGATTACAGGCGTGAGGCACCGCACCCGGCCCTAACAGACAATTTAAACAAAAATAATGACAGTGTATTGTGGGGTTGATAGCAGGCTGATAAGGAAAAGGCAACACTGTCCAACCGATCATGGAAATGTAGGAGTCATCCTTGCCATTGTCCTCTTGTCACCCTAACCAATTTATCACGATCCCTTGATTTTGCACCCCAGATCCCTCCAATCCACTCATTTCTCTGCCTCCATGGCCACCCCCCTAGATATCCTAACTTCCTCATCAATCCTTCTGCCCCCGTGTCTTCACAGCTGTCCACACTACATCCAGGAAGATTTTGCCAGATGCAAATATAATCTAATCCAGCTGCTTTAGAATAAAGGCAAAACCCCTGAAGTCACCTACAACAGCAGTCCTTAGGACTGGTTTTGTGGAAGACAATTTTTCCATGGGGGTTGGTAGTGGGTGGTTTCAGGATGAAACTGTTCCACCTCAGATCATCAGGCACCAGATTCTCATCAGGATCACACAACCTAGATCCCTCATGGCAACAGTTTGCAACCGGGTTTAGGCTCCTATGAGACACTAAAGCTGTCCCTGATCTGAGAGGATGCACAGCTCAGGCCATAATGCTGGCTCACCCACCCCTCGCCTCCGGCTGTGCAGCCCATTTCCTAACAGGCCAGGGAAGAGTACTGGTTCATGGCCCCAGGATTGGGGATCCCTGACCTATAAGACCTGGGAGGCCTGGCCCCCCCCCCAACCTCCCTGCCTCTTGTACTAAACACTACTGCTTTGTATTTTCTCCAACCCCTATTTTTTTTTCTAGTCCTCCATCAGTGCTCTGCTGTCTCTTCCACAAGGCCTGACACTACCGCATCCTCTGTCTGAAATACTTTCTCCATCTCTTTGTGGCCCAGTGAACTCCTTCATTAGACCTTGGTCCAAGGATATGACTGGTGAGTCATGGAACCTGAATTTGAACTTGAAGCCTCTGGATTCCAAAGCTATGTTCTTAGCCAAACTGATCCCCCTCCTTCCCTCGGCCTGCCACGACCGCTTTCCCTGTTCTGCTGAAATCCTTCCCTATCTTCACAGGTCAGTTCAAATTACACCATCTGCAAGAGACATCCTTGACAGCTCCATTCAGCCCTCACCGATCTGTGCATTTTAGGAAGATCTGAACTACTTGGGAAATATCTGAGAAGAAAAAATTGTAGTGTATAAGCTAATTAGCAAAACAAGTGCTAAACAAGTGATACTACCCAAGCTCCTTGGCTGTGGAAAGGAGCCCCACAATTCTGTGTATTTCCTACTGTGGACATCCATGCAGCTGGTTTGCCAATTTCATGACAAATGATGTGGACCA